TCAAGCTCTCCAGCAGATTCTCAAGTGCAAACAAGGCTAGGAACCAGGGCCTGAGAAGGAGCCTGCTTCTCCCTCTGCCTGTGTCTTTGCCTCTCTCTGTATCTCTCATGAATAAATAAATAAAATCTTTTAAAAAATAAAATTTCTGGGCAGCCCGGGTTGCTCAGCGGTTTAGAGCTGCCTTCAGCCCAGGGCGGGATCCTGGAGACCCAGGATTGAGTCCCACGTCGGGCTCCTTGCATGGAGCCTGCTTCTCCCTCTGCCTGTGTCTCTGCCTCTCTCTGTGTGTGTGTCTCTGAATAAATTAATAAAATCTTTGAAAAAGAAAAAAAAGGAAACCCCTTAGGAGTTTCAGGTGAACCTAAAATCCCACTGTTTGAACTTAAAAAGTGACAGATGATTAAGACTCAGTCCCCATGCAGAAGCACTCATCTCTTCATTCACTCAGCAAACATGCCATGAGTGTTCACAATGCTCCACAGCACAGATCCTCCTCCCTTCCCTTCAGGTAAGCTTGCAGACTAGTGGGGAAGACAGAAATTAGTCAAACCTGTAAAGGAGCTTTTACAAACTGATAAAAATGCTATAAAGGAGCAGATGGTGAGAGAAAGTAGGGAAGGGATTGTCACACAGAATCATTATCTAACAGGATTAACTCATCCAAGGATTATCTAATTCCTAGGGATATACTTTTGTTTTGATTTACTACTTATTCTTCATTAGGCATTTTACTACTTTACTGGTAGAAAACTGTTAGCTAACTAATCTTATCTAATAGCAATGCAAGTGAATTTCATCTTAGAAAAAAGTATAACCACCAAGTTACAGTTTTACTATTTACAGGACATTCGTCAATTTTATATGTAATTTAGCAATCTTGCTCCAGCATTCTTTCTTTCCGTGACTATAAATACTTCTAACTCTCCTACACTTTCTTGAACCAGCTTTACTCTATGCTGGTTCCTTCGTTAATGAATTAATTTGACAGAACCTACTTTAGACAAGATAGTGGGGACAGTCCACAAATCCTGAAGGATAAGAAGGAAGAGGCAGCTATTGAAAAAAAAAGGGGGGGCACAGACTGCCAGGAACCCAAGACCTCAAGATAACATGGGTTTTCCTGCAGCAGGAAAGAGATGGCCCAGAAATGGCTAGAAGGCCATTGAGGCCGGGGTACAGATTGTGAGCACAAGGGGGGGGGCACGTTTAAGATGAAGATAGAGAAGCAAAGACTAGATTACTTAGGGCCTTACAGATCAGTGTAGTGACTTCGATTTTAGTATTATGTACAACAAGCCAACCAGTGGAGGATCTCGAGGAGGAGGATGAAAAAATCATTCCTACTACCTTGAAGGAAAAGAAACTAGAAGAGAGAAGAGAGGAGGCCATGAAATCAAAGACAAAACCACTGTGATATCCAGGTGAGTGGCCGAAGGTGGCCCAGTCTAATAGAGAGATGGAGGGAGCAGGCAATGAGACAGGAGCCGCACTGCCAGGACTGTCGAGAGATTACACTGTGGAGTAAGGAAAAGGGTAGAATCAAGGATGATTTCTAGGTTCCTGGCTTGAGCAACTGTAGATGGTGGTGGCATTGACCGAGATGGGCAAGGCTAGGGGTTTGAGATTAACACACACATAGACACAGACACATGTAATTCATGAAGAATGGACTGACAACTCCATGACTGTGATAAGGCTACTACAGCCTTTCAGATTAAGTTCTCACAGAGCATTCTCTTTGGCCTTCAAGGTTTGTGTCACCAAACATTAAACTAATGGATTTCAAGCCATAAATTGGAAAATTCTAAGTGGAAGCTCAAAGTCTGGCCCAATCTTGCCCTTATCCTTACTTAACATAAGCTGAGTACAAATAACTTTTATTTAATAAATCTTTAAATGAAGGAAGAAAAATCAAAATTAACTGACTATATTGAAAGTCTCAGAGGTGGGATCCCTGGGTGGCGCAGCGGTTTGGCGCCTGCCTTTGGCCCAGGGCGCGATCCTGGAGACCCCGGATCGAATCCCACGTCGGGCTCCCGGTGCATGGAGCCTGCTTCTCCCTCTGCCCTCTGCCTCTGTGTGTGTGTGTGTGTGTGTGTGTGTGTGTGACTATCATAAATAAAAAAAATTAAAAATTAAAAAAAATGTCTCAGAGGTAAAAGGCAGCATCAAAATTTATAAAATACAACTGAGAAAGCCTTACACTTGTGAAAAAGTGTTAATCCTTTACACATATGATAATTTAGACACACACACACACTTACCTCTCCCCCTCTCTACTCCCAGGAAATTAAGCTGTAGATGTGGGCACAAATCAGATTAAAGACCAGTCTAACTTAAACAACAAAAGTGTCAGAAATGTATTCTTGTATACAACAAAGCAGCTTTAACTTCTCCAGAAGATAAAGTTGGAAGATATAACAATAAAGCTTAATGATCATTTACAATGGAATAGAAACTGGAAACTTTCAGTGTCTACCCCAAGTCCAAATACAATGTGATGTGACTTGAAACTACTTGTAGCAGTGACCACTCTGTCTCGTAGTGATAGACATCAAACTTGCCACTGAAATAATGCTCTAACAGAAAAAAAACTATTTTAAGGAAACTAATTATGTAATACCAAGGGATGCCTTTTGGGTCAGATTTTTTTTCCCATTCAGAAAATATTCCATGATTCCAGATTATAATCAGCACCTTACTAAACAGAATAATCAAGAAGAGGCCACTATGCATGAAGAGCAAAGGAACTGAAGGCTGAGTTTCTGGTTCCAAACTCTACTAACCTTAAGTCTTTACACAAATTACTCAATGTCCCTAAACTTCAATTTCCACATCTGTAAGATAAGGATAACAACAGTACCACAGTGGAGACTTCCAGTGTTCATCCATAGCAGTTCTCTCCTTGCAGGCACAGGAGAGAATTACACCTCCCCCAGCCTGCTCTGCAGTTCAGTGGATCCATGTGACAAGTTCTGGCCAATGCACTGTGTGCAACAGTAATGTGAGTCACAATCCAGGACAAAGCATTTAACTGCTAGGGTGAGAAACTATTTCTCTGTTACAGCAATTATAGGAACAGGTGCTTGCCGGGGGAGGGGGGATGCCACAAAACAAAGCAGCCAGGATCACAAAGCCACCACATGGAGGGCAGCTGCCCTAAAGAGTCACCATGACCCAATGCATAGCAGGAAGCAAACTGGCATTTTGTTAAGGCACTGGGATTTTGGTGGAATTTGTTTCACAGTTTATCGTAGGCAATGCAAACTAACACAAACACCTAATTTAGCAGGATGTCAGGAGGACTAAATGAGATGGTACCTGGCACACACTAAGCCTTTAATAAACATTAGCAGGATGATTGTGACTCCCTGATGGTTAGGGCAAAAGGACTTTGTTTCCCATAGTCAGCCTATCAGAATCTTCTCAGCTAGAGTTGTCCTACAAGGTTCCTGAACCCACTTTGAGGTTTACTAAGAACTTTACAGGAGAGGTGTAGACAGTTGAGTGGTTTCTATCTCAAAATGAGGAAAAGGAAAAAGTTCCTGCATGGCTGTGTGAACTTATGAAAATAATGTAGATCATAGTAAACTAACAGAGAACCTCAACACATTCCTGGAATAACCATCTTCTTCATAGAGATTTATAAACCCAGTACTGAGGCAGTATAAATGACGCTAAGAGTTTGGGGCTTTGCTGTTTAAGTTATGGAAAGTACTCAAACATTCACTGGGTTGGAGGCAGGAATGGGAAGATAAGAAAATGTTAAATCAAAACTGAGAAGCTAAATTCATTCTGCCAAAATTTTGGTAGCTCCATGGTACTTAGTAATCATTAAAAGAATTGGCGGACTAAAGGACAGTAATCAGGAACTGGAGAGCTAAAGGACAATCATATATGATATGACTGGTAGGGACAGGAGAGGAAATAGGGATGGTTCCACTCCAATTCTCCCAGGTAATTGTCCCTTTGTCCCTAACAAAACTTCATTTTTTAAAGATTTTATTTATTTATTCATGAAAGACACAGAAAGAGAGACGCAAAGACACAGGCAGAGGGAGAAGCAGGATCCATGCAGGGAGCCTGACGTGGGACTCGATCCCGGGACTCGATCCTGGGACTCCAGGATCACGACCTAGGCCGAAGGCGGGCACTAAACCGCTGAGCCACCCAGGGATTCCCCCAACAGAATTTCAAATGGCATTATGGATATTCCTCAAGAGGAAAATTAAACTAAATGTTTTTATTTTGCCACAGACTCTAGAAATCCAGTCCTGATCTTCTGCTAAAGAGCAAAATCTATTTTAACTTCAAGTCCGTTAAAAGGCATGAATCTTAGGTCACTCTCTGAATTTTTTTCCCATTTCAAGAAGAAAAAAAAAAAGAAAAAGAGGGACACCTGGGTGGCTCAGCAGTTGGGCGCCTGCCTTCAGCTCAGGTTGTGATCCAGGGACCCGGGATCAGATCAAGTCCCACATCAGATCAAGTCCCGCATCCGGCTCCATACCGGGAGCCTGCTTCTCCCTTTGCCTATGTCTCTGCCCTTCTCTCTCATTCTCTCTCTCTCTCTCTCTCTCTCTCTCTCTCTCTCTCTCTCTCTTTCTCTGTCTCTCATGAATAAATAAATAAATATTTTTTAAAAAAAGAAAAAGATGGGGATCCCTGGGTAGCTCAGCGGTTTGGCGCCTGCCTTCAGCCCAGGACATGATCCTGGAGTCCCGGGATCAAGTCCCGCATCAGGCTCCCTGCATGAAGCCTGCTTCTCCCTCTACCTGTGTCTCTGCCTCTCTGTCTGTGCCTCTCATGAATAAATAAATAAAATCTTTAAAAAAAGAAAAAGTAAGATGCCTACTACATTTTCTTTATTTTACAAAAGAGTGGAAGAAGCAAGGAGAAATTCCACACATGCTTATAGAACAGGCCTTAAGCCCATGAAAAATGGTTCTCATAAACAAGACAGCCATCACAGACAATCAGATGTATAAATGGGAGATACTTACCACATTTAATACTCTCTATCCGTACAGGAAGGCCAGACTGTGCAGCAGCAATCAGCTTTAAGGCAATGTAAAACTGTGTTGGACCAAAATAACCAACCCGCTTTGCACCACACAGTTCTGTGATCTGAAAACAGAGAAGAAAAACCAGCCTGAAAACCCCATTTCATAACAGGAAAATGAGACAAGATATATTATGAAATCTCAAGGATTTCACAGCATAGCTAACCAAAAACTCCCTAGAGAACCTATGTGTACACACCGGTTGGGGTTTTTTCCCTCCAGTTTACAGAAGATCTTCAATTCAGATAATTAAATCCTACCTACCCATGATGTTTCAGGACTGAGTGATTATTCCTCCTCTTCCAAAGATAAAAATAAATGTGACAAAGGATGGCTGCTACTGTTCTTACAAAAGAGAGTGACTCGTTCAGGGGGTGGATACTAATGTACAAAGTCTAGAAGATCACTGAGGTGAAAAGAACAGGTTAGTCATTACCACTACTTGTGGATTATCTCAGCTGATCAAAACTAAAAGTCAATTAATTATTTTTAAAGTTTTCAGGCAACAGGATTTCCCAAGCATTCAAATTACATCACAAGTGCTCACTTCAGAGGAAAAGTAAGGGGAAGGGGCTACAAATACAAATGTCTTTAAAATCTTGCAATGTTTAATTTGCAAACCTTTAACACATATCCTATTGGTAGTTTTTCTTTTTAAGATTTTTATTTATTTACTCATGAGAGACACTGAAAGAGAGATACAGAGACATGGGCAGAGAGAGAAGCAGGCTCCATGCAGGGAGCGCGGATGCAGGACTCCATCCTGGGACTCCAGGATCACACCCTGGGCCAAAGGGAGGCAACGGCTGAGCCACCCAGGCACCCCCCTATTGGTAATTTAAAACTAACAAACATTCAATGACTTTTTAAAGTTATTTCAGGGGATCCCAGGGTGGCTCAGCGGTTTAGCGCCTGCCTTCAGTCCAGGACATGATCCTGGAGTTCCGGGATCGAGTCCCCTATCGGGCTCCCTGCATGGAGCCTGCTTCTCCCTCTGCCTGTGTCTCTGCCATTCTCTCTGTGTCTCTCATGAATAAATAAAATCTTTAAAAAATAAAAATAAAATAAAATAAATAAAGTTATTTCAAAGTAATACCTAAAAGTTCAAATAATAGTAAGAGGGGTGAAGCTCTAAAAAGCACTCCCCACTTCCTTTGGCCTAGAGGAAAACATTATATTCTTTTAGGAATGTTCTGTGCATATATATAGCACACACCTGTGTTTTTCCTCTTGTTTATTCAACACTTTATACAAACAGAATACCACATACTATTCTGCAACTTGTTTTCATTTATCATTATCCCTTAAAGAAAAATCTTCTCTATCAGCACAGTTAAAATTACATCTTTCTTTTAACAACTACATAATATTCTGCTATAAAGATACACGTGGTTTCTGTTTTTTAGTTGGTCCTTATGGATGGGCTTTTAGATTTCCAAACTATAAACAGCCACTAATTAACCTAAAGAAAATTCCTATAAAAATTCAACTAGGAAAAAAAAAATTCAACTAGGATGTTACAGCAAAAAATGGGGGAATAAGGGCCTCCCAAAAACTTGCAATAAGAAAACCAACTAAGAAAATGGGCAGAACTCTGGAAATTAACCAAAGTCTTGCAGCAATCCAGGGAGCGTTTATTCAAGAAAAGCTGCTGAATCTCAGGAAGAACTTTGTAGTAAAGAGCTTTGTAGTATGTAACTGGCCTTACACCCATGCCCCCAGCCGAACTGCAGACATTTTCACCGAGGTTGCAAGCTGGGGATGCCTGCAACCAGACAAACAGCCTAGCAGCCACAGGAGAGGGCAGGACAGGGATGGGCTTCTTGAATGTATAGATTAGTGTTTTTCTTTCTCTCATTCTCTCTCTCCCTTCCTTCTGATACTTCTAGTATTTCTCATAGCATGTGGTCTCCCTCTCCTAACCCTAGACTAGGAGCTGGGGTTGAGACGAGAGAGAGTCCTGTCTTCTTTGCTGGACCCACCAGGAATGGAGCTTTCTTCATATGGAATTGGTAGGGGAGACATGGGTAACAGGTCGTGGCTCAAATACTGCAGATTTGCTGCTCACCACAATTTAGGAGATTTTCTTGAATGCTTCTCCACTTGCAGTATGTCCTCAGGTCAATTTCCAATGACTTTAAATGATTGTTTTTTATAATGTTTTTGTTATCATTTAAATGGTTGTTTCATTGGAGAGGGTCAGCTGAGTTTCTCATGTTGCTGTCAATCCTCCCTAGATTCATTCTTGGCCAGAGAAGCAATAGGGTGTTATGATAAAGAGAACAGCCCTTACAGTAAAGAACTTGGTTGTAAATCCTGGCCTGGGCACTAATTAGTTGTCTGCATAGCCTAAGGCAAACTACTTAACTCTTGTGCCTCAGTCTCCCCATAACTGTAAAGAGAGATAATGGTAATTACCTCATGAGAGCTAATTAACAGTGTTGACAATAGTATCCATTCAATAAATGCACCACTGTCTGATTTATTGACCCACTTATCTTATTTTGTTCCCGGTCTAGCTGCATATTAGAATAAACTGGGATGCCTGGGGTGACTCAGCGGTTGAGTGTCTGCCTTTGGCTCAGGGTGTGATCCTGGAGTCCCGGGACCAAGTCCTACATTGGGCTTCCTGCAAGGAGCCTGCTCCTCCTTCTGCCTATATCTCTGCCCCTCTCTCTCTCTCTCTCTCTGTGTGTCTTTCATAAATAAATAAAATCTTTAAAAAAAAAGAATAACCTGAGAAGCTTTTGAAAAATACAGTTACCTAGGCCCTACCCCCCAAAGATTCTGCTTTAGCTGGTAAATTATGTGGCCCAGGCATGAGTATTTTTGCAAAGCTCTCTAGATAATTCTAATGTGTAGCCAAGGCTGAGAATCACTGCACTTTCAGTGATCTCATTCTCTCTCCAGGCTTCAATTACCTTACAAATGATCACCAAATCACTCTCTCCAAACGTAACATCTCAGACACTTGATGCACTTTTTCAAAACCCTAATGTGGGACCCAGGAAATTTAACAAAAATCCCCTGCCCCTGGACAAGCAGAGCAGGACTAACTCCATTTTGTGCTACACCCGCCATCTCCTGTATGACCCCCACATGACCTGCTTATCGCTTAAGACGTTCCCCCACCCTAGTCAAGCCACTGAGCACACCCTTATCGGAAATCGGCTCATAAAAATGTAACCCCGCCTTGTGCCCGCCAAACCTGCGCGCCAATTCTGACCAGAGTGATAGGCCAGATCAAATGGTCACTAGAGGGCAAATTGTGATTCAATTGGCCACCTGCATGCGGACCGACATGACTGTGCAACTTTCTATATGTGTTACAATCCCATTGGCCACTGGCCCCTATAAAGCTGCTACGCCTCTTAGCCTTGGGGTCCAAATCCCTGCTCCGCTGTGTCCAGTATACTTGGACCCAAGCTCAAGCTTGCAAATAAACCCTCTTGCGCTTGCATGGGTGTCGGCTCCTTGGTGGTTTCTCAGATTTGCAATCTTGGGCACAACACTAATATGGATACCCAATGCCATCTCAGACATAACATAAATAAATCTCATTCAATTGCCCTCCCTACACATCCTGGCACCTGTCAATTAATCTTGCTGATGTCAACTATCCATACCCTAAATCAGAAACTTCTCTTCAATGGTGACCATATCCAGTTGATCCTACCACCAACCCACGTCCCAAACTAAGGCTATCTTCTCCTCTGTCATAGCCTTAACCCTTCCTAGGATCTCACCTGGCTATCATGACAGATTTTTTTAAGTAGAATTAACACACATAACCATACAGGGACAGATTTAACTTTTTCTAACCTTATTCCATTATTTGGTATTCTTTTCACAACAAAATAAGCAGGTACTAATATTGAGAAAGGAGAAGAACCCCTGAGTGTGACTTTCAGATAATAGTGAATGTTCCTCAAGTAAACAAGTAGACATCAATAGTAATTATCAGGGGCACCTGAGAGGCTCGGTGTTTAGGCATCCAACAGTTCATCTCAAGTGAGGATCTCAAGGTCCTGAAATTGAGCCCTCCATTGGATTCCATGCTCAGCACGAAGTCTGCTTCTCCCTCTCCCTCTGCTCCTTCCTCCATTCTCTCTCAAATAAATAAAATCTTTAATATTTATATATTTAAAAATACTAATTATCAGAATTTGTTTCTAGAAGAAATATAATAGTCATATGGAAAAGTATAATATACATACAGAGAAGCATACAAATCCTAAGTATATAGTATATGGGAGATGAGTTTTCATAAATGGAACACAACTACATAACCAGCAGCCAAGATCAAGAAATAAAACATTACAAGCCTTCTAGAAGCCCCCCACCCCCAGTGCAGCTCCTTTCAATCACTACCCATATGCCATTTTCCTAACTTCTAATACCACAGATTAGTCTTGCCTTTTTGGGAACTTTATATAGTCAGAATATGTACCCACATGTCTGGCTTCTTTGTTCAATATTGCTTGTGACATTCTTCCAAGTTGGTGAGTGAAATTACAGTTCAGTCATTTTTGTTGTTATTCAAATACTTGTGTGGATAGATCACAAATTACTTATCCTTCTGCCACTGGACATTTGGATGGTTTCCACTTTGAGTCTATTCTGAATCATGCTTCTCTAATATTCTTGTTCATGTCTTGTCAAGACATGTAGAGTGGAATACATTGGCCTGACATCTATTTCTCTTTAGGTTTTTAAGAGTGGTAACTGCTTGCTTACCAGATATGTATATGTTTAGTGTTAGTAGATACGGCCACGCTGCCACCAATAGTGTTTGAGAATTCAGTTTGCTTCATATCCTTGCCAATACTGGCTATTTTTAGGCTTTTTCATTTTCACCATTCTAATGGCAGTGTGGTAGCATCTCACTGTAGTTTTATTTTGCATTTTTCTGAGAACCAGGAAGCTTACCACCTTTTCAGAGGATCATAGGTATTATGGCTCCGATACCAATCCTAAAATGTTAAGGCGGAGGTGTCCCACACAGCACCAAGTAATTCTCTAGAGGACACCTGAGTGTCCTACAATTCAACTCAACTCTGACAG